TTAACCCAAAATCTACCCTGGTGGGTCAATACCGGAAATTTACATATGCCTTTCTGCTAATATTACTAATCTAACAAGATTAGACCAAACCTACAGTCTAAACTGGTTAGGCTTATATTTTTACATGGACTAGACGTAGACAGCATGTCACGTGGCGTAACATTAATTTAATAGTTATCATAAATAGCATAGTTATAATACTAAAGGGGGCCTAAGCCAATTCTATACCAAACACTATTATTATCAAATAAGTAGGGCGAGGCTAGGGTGACCAAATCATCAACTGGAACAAACGGGACACTTTCAAGGACGGTCTTGAGGGGGGGGGGGGGGGGGGGGGGAATTACCAATGCCTAAAACCATTATTGCAAACTGTGCACTCGGCTTCACTTTCATAGCGTCCCTTTTTTTTGATATAGTTCCACTCTTTGGAATACTCCTCCATAAACTTACATTGACGCTTGGGCATCATTATTGTTTACATGCGAAGATAATATAAAATGAAAGAATACAGTTCAACACCCTTAAGTATTACACGTAGTGGTAGCGGAATCAAAATTGTTTTCTGCGAAGTTACATCCTTCCCCCTACCACCCCGGGCTGCTTCAAGTCTCGTGTCTTTCGCTATACGTTTACATATAAGTTTTATGGCAGGGACACTGGGGTGGAGAGGAACAGTGCAGCCAATCACGCGAACCCACATCATGCACTGACTACACAGCTAGCCAAAATATTACTTGAAGTTACATTATAAATTAGGAACTTTTAGTGATTTGAAATAAATGTATTCGGTTTAAAAACAGGACATTTAGGTGTCCCGGGAGACTTTTTCGGGACAACGGGTACGATCGTGGAAAAAACGGGACAGTCCCGTCTTTACGGGACGTTTGGTCACTCTAGACTAGCTAAATTATTACTAGGCTATAAGATTGAATATGTTAAAATTAGGTAATAACTTATTTAACAGCTTACTTTTCCTTTTAAATATTTCAGGCTTAGAGCCTCTTGCAATAAAACAAGCCTACTTTAAAAAAAAAAAAAGTAATTTAAAAGTAGAAGTGATCTAGTTTTGTTTGGACTATGCCTAGCCTATATGCCGCGTTTTAAAATAAAGTTCATTTCTTTTCAAACGTAGGTAAAGAGGTCGAGAGAGCGGAGAGTTAACCCAACCAGCAAAAATACAAGTGTTAACAAAGTGTTTTCTGTATTACACTACATAATGGTAAACGTTTCTGTCTTTTATGAGTTTCTTGGAAAATTCGATTCAACAATGAGTCAACATCTATAAATCACTAGCACGAGTTAATCATATTTTTTTCGCAATAAAGAATAGGCATTTACAATTTTAGTTAGGCTCATTATCAGGCTTTATTTATTTATTTATTTATTTAGGCATTTTTATATAGCGCTTATCATAAAGCTCTAAGCGCTTTACAATTATTAAAAGATGTAAACTAAGTAAATACAAATGAGATACTAGGATAGTAACTACTATTTTATAGAAACAATGAAAATGACTATAAAACGAGGACACTTTGACACTTCAGGATCAACCCGAAACAGAAAATGAGGTAGGGCAAGGAGGGTGCATCACAGGTCATAGGCGGACCTAAACAGATGAGTTTTAAGGGACTTTTTGAAAATGGACGAGGTTTCACTATGACGTATATGGAAGGGGAGCTGGTTCCAGAACGTGGGCCCATGGAAGCAGAAGGAGCGTTCACCGATGGTCTTAGTTTTAGTTCTTGGGATTGAGAGGGTTCTACTGTCAATGGAAGAACGTAGTTGTCTTGTGGGGATGTAAAGAAGCAACAGATCAGAGAGATAGACAGGAAAGTGAGGGTCAGTGAACGAGTTGAAGCAAAGATTGGCAGACTTGTATTTGATGCGAGAGGATATTGGAAGCCAGTGGAGTTGCCGCATGTGTGGTTGAATGTGGTCATGTTTCTTTGATTTAAAAATGAGTCTGCATGCTGAGTTCTGTGCCTTCTGAAGTTTTTCTATGTGGTGTTGAGGAATGCCTGCGAGAAGAATGTTACAGTAGTCAAATTTTGAAAGAATGAGTGAAGAGACGAGAGTTTTTGTGGCATCAAAGGAGAGGAGGTGTCTAATGGTGCTGATTTTTCTAATTTCGTTATATGCTGATCTGCATATATTCGTGACATGTTTGTCCATGGAGAGGGTGTCCGTAAGCGTGACTCCAAGGTTTCTGGCAGAGGGAGAGAGTGTGATGTCAGAGTTGCCAATAGATATAGAAGAAGGAGCGAATGGAGGGAGAGGTTTGTTTTGAGAGTGGATGAGAAGGATTTCCGTTTTATCATCATTTAGCTTCAGTTTGTTGCAAGTCATCCAACGCTTTACATCGTCCACGCACTCCTGTATGCGAAGGATTGTGGCATCAAGTTGATCAGGAAAGCAAGAGTCACTGATTTGAGTGTCATCAGCAAAGGATTGACTGGAAACTGAGTGGTGGCTAATGAGAGATGATAGAGGTTTAGTGTAGAGGATGAAAAGGACCGGCCCAAGGACCGATCCTTGAGGAACTCCAATAGACAGGGCTGAAGGTTTGGAAGAGCGGTTGGAAATAGAGACTTTTTGAGTTCTGTCAGAAAGATATGATTGAAACCAGTTTAAAGCTGAGCCAGTAAGTCCGAAAGAAAGATGAAGGCGGTCAAGAAGAATCTGGTGGTCAATGGTATCAAATGCAGCAGAGAGATCTAACAGAGTGAGAATAGAGAGTTTGCCATCGTCCATCGCGCGCAGGAGGTCACTCATGACTCGGACCAGTGCTGTTTCTGTGCTATGACCAAGTCGGTAGGCGGACTGAGAGGAAGGATAGAGATTGCGAGAATGAAGATAGCCAGAGAGCTGAGAGAGTATGAGTTTTTCTATGATTTTTGAGAGAAAGGAGAGGTTGCTGACGGGGCGGTAATTCTTGAGTGTGTTTGGATCAAGTGAGGGTTTCTTTAGGAGGGGCAGGACAATCGACCGTTTAAAAATGGGAGGGAATATGCCAGAGAGAATCGAAGAATTTATGATGGAGGTGAGTGCTGGGAGGAGGACGTCAAGACATTCTACAAGCAGTGGGACTGGGATAGGATCGAGGGCACACGACTTGGGAGCAGATCTGATGATGACTCGCCTCGCCTCATCCTCAGTCACAGGCAGAAAACTATCAAATGATTCTGTCTGACTAACGTCCTCGGAGAACGGTGAGGAAGGTGTAGGGGTCGCACTGTCTAGCTCCTCCCTGATCGTTTGCACCCTGGTGATGAAAAAGTCCGCAAAGGCGTCAGGGAGTTGCTCTGGTGCAATGTCGGTAGGGAGGGTGAAATTTTTGCTGTTGCCAAGGAGACGGTTACTAGCGCTGAACAACGCCTTGGTTGATGCACATGATTCGACCTTTGAGCTCCAGTAGTCATCCTTTGCCCTCTGTACAATCTCTGCCACCGCATCTTTCGCTGTCCAAAAGATCTGTCTGTCGACACTCAGTCCAGTCTTTACCCAGCGTCTTTCAGCGCGTCTTCGCACGAGTTTTGCCAGACGGAGTTGGTCACTAACGCCTGCATACCATAGCGACGAGCGACCAGTCGGGACACGTCGCGCCATGGGAGGGGCGTGCTCGTCCAAAAGTGCTCGGAGGCCATCGTCCAGATGCTGAGCGCTGAGCTCAGCACCTAGCCCTTGAAGCATTGTCTTAATAACCACCCAGTCAATGATGTGGCCGCTGCGATAGTAGGTGGGCTGCTTAATGCCCTGGACAAGACTAAACCTTGTGAGGATGTCTAGTACCTTGCTAGTAAAGGGATCAGTAGGGACGTCATAGTGAATGTTAAGGTCGCCCACGATCACACTTGTTCCACGGAGCAGGTTGCAGTAGTCAAGTAGGTCAGGGAGCTCAGAGAGGAAGGTGGAGTTTAGGAGCTTGTTCTTCTTACTGGGCGGAGTGCGGTACAAGCAGAACAACTGTTACTGACTGCAAATTAATAATATGTTCTTTATATAAAAATTTAAAACTTAATTTTTTTTTATTTTGGTTTGAGAGTTAAAGTTGTAGTTAGTATAGTAGGCCTACTGTTCATATCTTCTAAAATTTTGGCCAGTCTTGATTTATACTTGACGTTGGATTTTCTAAATCTATTTTTCTATTAATATGTATTTATTCAATTTTTTGTTATTTCCGTTATAAATCTTGCCGTGAATGGCTTTTTAAAATCTAAACTCATTCATGATTCACATAACATTCATATCAACAAAAAATAATAATCATTTAGGCTTGTTTTTGCCATTTAGTGAATGATTTACTATTTAAATTTTAGTCTCTGCCTATTCTGATGACAAAGGACATATGTTATACAGTCGACGTGTTCGTGTTTACGTCATCTTGCTCCGTGAATGAATTCTAGCTGACCCCAAGCTACTAGAGTGTGGCTAATTAAAAATAATCTCCCTTGGCCTTGGTTACAACTAACTAAAAGCAATAGTCTGTATTATTATGAGAATTTTTTTAGAATTTTTTAGAAATATCGAGAAATGAATTCAACGTGTAGGCCGTTTGAGAAGTATCTATGAAAAGGCTATATATATATATATACCTGAAGAGAGACTGAGCGACAGGAAGATCATACGAGAGATATTTTGAGCCTGTGCTATTTTGCGAATGAGAATGAGATTCAGTTACTGTATGTATTTAGAGTACTTTTCATCATTGTACCTTTTTACAACATTGTATTTTCTTCAACATTGTACCGGTACAAGCCAATCATTATACTCTAAGTCAATTGCTTTAATTTTATTTCTTGTTGATTTTTGTAATTTATACTAAATAAAATTTATTAATTGTAATTGGCCCTGGTTTGAGTATCGTATTCTTTGTTATTGTATTCAACATATGGTGTCGTCTTTTGTTGTGTACTGTTTTAGAACGAGCACTATACTTACATAAGAGATTAATTTCTCCATACTGATAACAGTACGTAGCAATATGCTTTAGAAAAACAAAGAAATCTTTATTCAGTACATGAACCAATGTTTAAGTTAGACAACCCATGCACACACATTCTAAAATCAAGCAAAAGCTCAGTTCCCCGCCCTTGACTTGGTTCTGCAATTTAATAGATAGTTAAATAGAAGGGTTCAAGGGAAAAACCAGTGATGTCAGTTTTTTTTAAATTTCTATGTTATCTCCCTTGTGGCTACATTCCATTTAATAGAATAATATGATACATAGGTCCAACTGAAAAAGCAGCGTAGTCAATAAATAAATACGTAGACATCTTGATATGTTCATACTTTTATGAGGAATTTTCCAACTTAAAATTCAAATTTTCTCAAAACTCTCAAAACCTGACCTCACTGGTTTTTTCCCTTGAGCCCTTCTTTGTATACTCTCAAAATGCAGTCTACTTAAATCCCGTCGACTAGCCAAGCCCAGGGATCCCCGAAAGGTTTAGTTGCCCCCACTTCCGCAAGAGGCAGAAAGGGCACGTAGTTTAACGTGTATTGTACAGAGATTAATAGTTAAGGATTGCTTTTTAATATTATTTTTTTACTGATATAGGGTTGTGATTTTTAAAAATGGCTATTATTGAAGTAATTTGTTCAAGAATATATGATAGAATCCTGCCGATATTAGCTTCAATTATATTTCAATTTATTTTATCGGCCTGTCGTTACAATCTCAAAAAAAAAATTAACCTTATTTTTTTTATTTTTTTTGCAAAGATTACATAATGAGATGAAAAAGAAGAAAGAAAAAAGTTAAAGGAGTAAAAACGCGTTGTAGGAAGATAAAATAATATCGTAGTAATAAATACATATTAAATTACGGGGGTCTCGCTGGCTCTACGTTATGTTTCGTTTTCCTGGTCATAATACAAAATATGTGTTTTATGACTCAACATAATGTTCCGACATACTGCATCAATCTACATAATTCTTAAACACACGCATACAGCTCTAAAAAAAATTTACAAGTACTAAAAGAAAACATTTCAATTAGAAATAAATTGTTTCTACTTATGTATCTTTAGAATTTCCTTCTTAATTAATTTGTATGAAAATCCTTAACATCGTAATCCTTGGGCTAATCCAAAAGAGTAAATCTGAATGAAAACGAATTTAAACAAAACAGGAGCTATTTCAGCAATGAAGCACATTTTTAGACCTTAACAGAAACCGTCTCACTCATCAACATTCTGGACTCTTTTTTTTTAAAAATCTCTCTTCTATATTATGTAAGATGAAAAAATTTTATTTAAAAAAAATTATTTTAAAAAATAAACTTATTTGACAAATATTTACAGATGAACATTGGAAATATATTATACTATGACCTAGGAGAGGAATGAGGAGTTACCTGAACTATGTGTTATAGAACAGAATAAGACCATATTCGAACCCTGGACTCGATATGTACAAAGCACAGATGGAGGCAAAGTCAAGTAAAACAAAGTCATTAAACGGCATCAAAAACCAACACCACATGACTGCAGTGTTCGAACATCCACAAGGGAAGTAATTCATGGTACAATTAAATAATTTTTTTTTTTAAATGAAAACTTTGAAATAAACGTACAAAGTTATGATATTCCATAAATTAACTGCAATATAAATAGGTATAAACTAACTACAACATAAACATTTATAATTGCATGTTCAAGCATGGGCTGATAATCAATTGTCATTACCTGGGTATTCAATAGTGGCATGAAACAAACGAATATGTCGCTTTTCATAACAAATAATAATTTCTTGAAAACAAAAAACAAACCGAATTAAGACAATTTTTTGACACGAAGAGGTTTCTTTGAAAAATACTGAAACCTTTTGCCGTGTATTTTAAGAGGTTTCCTTACAATAATAACTGATATAAAGATTTTTCCAGTTTGCATAACGTCACACACAAAATATGTGACAATGAGATTTGTGACATTTAAAAATTGAACAGGAAGGAAGGCACTATGGTGGTGTGTATACTAGACTTAATTTACAAGCGTCTGACATAGCAATTGAAAAAAGGTGTCTTCTAGCGGGTGTCTCCTTTATAAGTATTGGTTGAGAACCTTTCAGATGGGAAAGATCACGGTGTGATAATGAGACGAATGTCGACTAAACAAGCGACCAGGCAAGTTCACATAATGCAACACCGTGATAATATAATGATTAGAGAATGATAATAAATAAACACATTGGGCTCGACATTTTAAAAGATTCACATTTTACAAATATTCAAACTGACAACAGAATCGATTCGTTCATTCTGGTTATATGAACTTTTTTCAACAACAATCATCCCAAGGGAGATAATCTCCTATTCTTCCACAGTCTGCTGTGTCTTAGACACAAAATTATCCATTTAACAATGTCTATCATTTCGAACGCAGTACGAGGGATGCAAGCAGCTTGAAGATATTAGAGTGGGTGGAAAAAAAAGAGGGGGGGGGGGCTTCAGAGATTAAAAAAAATGTTCTTTTAAAGTTTTGGGGTGTGTTTGATTTTCAACAAAACATTTTTTGAACGTAACCACGGCAATGTATTGTCGTGTTTTGCAATACACATTATTTCAATCATTGTCAAGTTAATCCTATGACAGTGACGCTCAATCCGCGCAGAGGGGGCGTCACTAGAATTGTTGGCGGCAGCATGGAGATCTGTTTTTTTTTTCTTTTTCTCTAAATCCTTTGGTAACAAACACAAAAAAGGGGGGGGGGGGGGCGCGGGCATTTATTTTTTTCAAGGGTTAGCTTAGGCTCTTGACGATATAAGTTTGGGAGCCACTGATTAAGACAGAGACTCAATCTTTACATGAAATAGGGGGGGGGGGGCGCGCGGGCATTTATCTTTTTCAAGTGTTAGCTTAGGCTCTTGACGATAAAAGTTTGGGAGCCACTGATTAAGACAGAGACTCAATCTTTACATGAAATCGGAAGGCACGCAATTCGACAATGATGGTGATCAACGTTTTATTTGGACACCTCAAAATTTAGCCGTGTTTCTTTGTTTGTTTGTTGTTTTTTTGTTCGATGCCGAAAAATATCAAATCTGACAGCAGAGGTTTGAATAATGTTAGTTTTATCAAATTTAGAGGTTTTGAGGAAATTAGTCTTTCTAAATAATTACAGCTTTTAACCCGCGTGTCCAGACATAACACTCGGACTCGAGGAAAACCGTAGTGAAAATTGGGGAAACTCGGCACCAAGTTATCCATCATTTCATACGAATCTCTAGCACTGCCTAAATCCTTAACATACTTTTTGTGGGGATAAACGCGTTAATGAAAAATGACGCGTTTACTTTATAAACACGGGTTTTTTGTTGTTGATCTTTTTTAAAAGGATTAATGTAAAAAAAAATAATTGGAGTCTGGAGGGTTAAGGCCTAGAGTTGGGTGTCCTCATTATTTATGACAGGGGGGATGACAGGGGCGTCATCCAGGGGTATAACCCAAGTGTTGCTGTCTCCCCCGACCGGGTCGCTCCCATTGCAGGACGGGTTTTCGACCTTCTCCGGCTTCTCCCCTTTCTCCATGGCGACCTCGTCCTTCATGATCTGCTCGTCTGTGAAAGGACTTGGATTGACGTTGAAGTAGCGCCGCCTGTCGGCCAGGTTAGTCCCTTCCTGCAATCAATCAATAGATAAACATACTAGGGCTTAAATCAGTGCAGCTGTTTTTTTTTTGTTGTTTTTTTTTTACACCGGGTCCGGGTATTTACAGAGAATACCAGGTGGGCCCAAATGTTGCACAAATGTTGCCCAAATGTTGCCCAAATGTTGCACACAAAAAAAAAAATTTAATTTCTCAATTTAAATAATATTTAATGAAATCTACTGCCCTGTGTCGTAGTGAGAGTGCATTGCCTTATTCAAACGTTTGGGGGTCAAGAAATAACCCACTGATAGGAGCAGGCATCAGTTGCCGGATCCAGGAATAGAGATGACGTTGTAGCGCGTTGTGTGAAATTAGGAATACGAACAATAACACCGGATAATATTGGAAAGGAAAAAATCAAAGTATTTACCGAGTTCAGACGTCACACACATGTCAACAGGAAATCGTTTTTATTCATACACATGTCAACAGGAAAACGTTTATTTATACACATGTCCTGCCCGGACACTAAAGACCCCACTGAACTGCCTCCAAAGACATCAACAATTCAGACCTTATATTTCGCCTGCGCACAGGACTCATACAACACCACCAACATCCTACACACAAACAAGGAACAGCTGCGGAGACTGTGCACCACCGTGGCTTCGGAATTAAGCCGAAATGTCTACTGGATATGGATGATGATAATGGATAAGATTTTTAAACAGAATTTTGAAGGTTTATAGACTTACGGAAGAAAGGTGAACTTCTTTGAATTTACCCATACTTCCCGGGGCCTTAAAAGAGCAATAGCTCGGTCCCTTACAGTGAATGTAATATAATACATTCAGAGCCAACGGTTTTCAGGAACAAAGATGACAGCAAAGGAACTTATTGAAACTATTGAATAGTTAAACTGGACAAAAAATAGGATTTGTGTGTAATCAATAAAGGTAACCATTGGCGATCTTTCTTTTTCTCCCCATGTTACGCTTTGTTATTAAATACTCAGAATGCAAACCAACAGTTGTGTCCACGCTGTGCAACCAAGAGTTGTGTCCACGCTGTGCAACCAACAGTTGTGTCCACGCTGTGCAACCAACAGTTGTGTCCACGCTGTGCAACCAACAGTTGTGTCCACGCTGTGCGCAGACTTTAACACACAAAAAAAATATTTGCATTTGTTGTTGTTTGCTGCTGATGTTGTTTTTTCTTTGTAATTTGTGATTTTCGTGAAGAAAGAAAATCAAGAACAGGGTACAAGCCAGGTCAAGGTCATGCCATCCCCCACCCCTAGGTCAAACTCCTTTTTTTTAAAATAAAATTTACAGCTCAACACCAAGACATTGAACCTGTCATTGGGTTGGCGTTACTTTTGAAAACTTAAAATATGAGCATGCTGCTCACCCCCTCTTGGGCCACGTAGACTCCTCTCCTAAAGAACCTGAAGTAGCCCGCGACGACCAGCAGCACGACCAGGCAGACGATGCATAGGACGATCAACGTTATGAGGAGAGGCGCGTTGCTTTCAAACACGGACTGGGTGCTGGCTTTCGGCTGCTCAATCTCACAGTTTGCGCTTGCGCGGCATTTGGCGATGAGGCTCAGGTCATTCTGCAAAGGGAGAGGGGGTCAGTTTTATGACGTCATCTTTTGTTATTGCAGTTATCGTTAACAAATACACAGTCAGTATATCTTCATTATGTGATTCAGTGTGTGAATCATGAAAAACATTGACATTTTCAAATCTATTCTTGGTAACGTCATACTTCATCGATTGATATTTAACTTACCTATTTTAAAGATAATTCATAAATCAAGGTTTTATGTTAAACTTATGTGAGTTTTTGGGAAGATAACTCGAGTTTTGTGGATTTATATTTATCTACGTATTGTGAAAGATAAGTCATAGATTTATATTCAACTTACGTGTTCTGAAAGATAATTCTTGGATTTATATTTTACTTACTTGTTCTAAAAGATAATTCTCCAAATTACGTTTGTTAAACACGTTGATGATCTCTGTAAAAACAAAAACAAAACGATGTGTTTATAACCAAGGGGGAAGTGTGGGGGGAGGGGGTGAAAGTGTTGGCGTCACCCAGTGCTGTAAACTCATAGCGTCACCCAGTGCTGTAAACTCATGGTGTCACGCAGTGCTGTAAACTCATAGTGTCAAGCAGTGGTGTAAACTCATAGTGTCACGCAGTGCTGTAAACTCATAGTGTCACGCAGTGCTGTAAACTCATGGTGTCAAGCAGTGCTGTAAACTCATGGTGTCAAGCAGTGGTGTAAACTCATGGTGTCAAGCAGTGGTGTAAACGCATAGTGTCACGCAGTGCTGTAAACTCATAGTGTCACGCAGTGCTGTAAACTCATAGTGTCACCCAGTGCTGTAAACTCATGGTGTCAAGCAGTGGTGTAAACTCATGGTGTCACCCAGTGCTGTAAACTCATATTGTCAAGCAGTGGTGTAAACACATAGTGTCACGCAGTGGTGTCAACTCATAGTGTCACGCAGTGCTGTAAACTCATGGTGTCACCCAGTGCTGTAAACTCATAGTGTCAAGCAGTGGTGTAAACTCATAGTGTCAAGCAGTGGTGTAAACTCATAGTGTCAAGCAGTGGTGTAAACTCATAGTGTCAAGCAGTGGTGTAAACTCATAGTGTCAAGCAGTGCTGTAAACTCATAGTGTCAAGCAGTGGTGTAAACTCATAGTGTCACGCAGTGCTGTAAACTCATAGTGTCAAGCAGTGCTGTAAACTCATAGTGTCAAGCAGTGGTGTAAACTCACAGTGTCAAGCAGTGCTGTAAACGCATAGTGTCAAGCAGTGCTGTAAACTCATAGTGTCAAGCAGTGCTGTAAACTCATAGTGTCAAGCAGTGGTGTAAACTCATTGTGTCAAGCAGTGGTGTAAACTCATGGTGTCAAGCAGTGCTGTAAACTCATAGTGTCAAGCAGTGGTGTAAACTCATAGTGTAAAGCAGTGGTGTAGACTCATAGTGTCAAGCAGTGCTGTAAACTCATAGTGTCAAGCAGTGCTGTAAACTCATAGTGTCACGCAGTGCTGTAAACTCATAGTGTCAAGCAGTGGTGTAAACTCATAGTGTCAAGCAGTGCTGTAAACTCATGGTGTCAAGCAGTGGTGTAAACTCATAGTGTCAAGCAGTGGTGTAAACTCATAGTGTCAAGCAGTGGTGTAAACTCATGGTGTCACCCAGTGCTGTAAACTCATAGTGTCAAGCAGTGCTGTAAACTCATAGTGTCACGCATTGCTGTAAACTCATAGTGTCACGCAGTGCTGTAAACTCATAGTTTCACGCAGTGCAGTAAACTCATAGTGTCATGCAGTGCTGTAAACTCATAGTGTCACGCAGTGCTGTAAACTCATAGTGTCACGCAGTGCTGTAAACTCATAGTGTCACGCAGTGCTGTAAACTCATAGTGTCACCCAGTGCTGTAAACTCATGGTGTCAAGCAGTGGTGTAAACTCATGGTGTCACCCAGTGCTGTAAACTCATATTGTCAAGCAGTGGTGTAAACACATAGTGTCACGCAGTGGTGTCAACTCATAGTGTCACGCAGTGCTGTAAACTCATGGTGTCACCCAGTGCTGTAAACTCATAGTGTCAAGCAGTGGTGTAAACTCATAGTGTCAAGCAGTGGTGTAAACTCATAGTGTCAAGCAGTGGTGTAAACTCATAGTGTCAAGCAGTGGTGTAAACTCATAGTGTCAAGCAGTGCTGTAAACTCATAGTGTCAAGCAGTGGTGTAAACTCATAGTGTCACGCAGTGCTGTAAACTCATAGTGTCAAGCAGTGCTGTAAACTCATAGTGTCAAGCAGTGGTGTAAACTCACAGTGTCAAGCAGTGCTGTAAACGCATAGTGTCAAGCAGTGCTGTAAACTCATAGTGTCAAGCAGTGCTGTAAACTCATAGTGTCAAGCAGTGGTGTAAACTCATTGTGTCAAGCAGTGGTGTAAACTCATGGTGTCAAGCAGTGCTGTAAACTCATAGTGTCAAGCAGTGGTGTAAACTCATAGTGTAAAGCAGTGGTGTAGACTCATAGTGTCAAGCAGTGCTGTAAACTCATAGTGTCAAGCAGTGCTGTAAACTCATAGTGTCACGCAGTGCTGTAAACTCATAGTGTCAAGCAGTGGTGTAAACTCATAGTGTCAAGCAGTGCTGTAAACTCATGGTGTCAAGCAGTGGTGTAAACTCATAGTGTCAAGCAGTGGTGTAAACTCATAGTGTCAAGCAGTGGTGTAAACTCATGGTGTCACCCAGTGCTGTAAACTCATAGTGTCAAGCAGTGCTGTAAACTCATAGTGTCACGCAGTGCTGTAAACTCATAGTGTCACGCAGTGCTGTAAACTCATAGTGTCACGCAGTGCTGTAAACTCATAGTGTCAAGCAGTGGTGTAAACTCATAGTGTCAAGCAGTGGTGTAAACTCATTGTGTCAAGCAGTGGTGTAAACTCATGGTGTCAAGCAGTGCTGTAAACTCATGGTGTCAAGCAGTGCTGTAAACTCATAGTGTCACGCAGTGCTGTAAACTCATTGTGTCAAGCAGTGGTGTAAACTCATAGTGTCAAGCAGTGCTGTAAACTCATGGTGTCAAGCAGTGGTGTAAACTCATAGTGTCAAGCAGTGGTGTAAACTCATAGTGTCACGCAGTGCTGTAAACTCATAGTGTCACGCAGTGCTGTAAAATCATAGTGTCACGCAGTGCTGTAAACTCATAGTGTCAAGCAGTGGTGTAAACTCATAGTGTCACGCAGTGCTGTAAACTCATAGTGTCACGCAGTGCTGTAAACTTATAGTGTCACGCAGTGCTGTAAACTCATAGTGTCACGCAGTGCTGTAAACTCATAGTGTCAAGCAGTGCTGTAAACTCATAGTGTCACGCAGTGGTGTAAACTCATAGTGTCAAGCAGTGGTGTAAACTCATAGTGTCAAGCAGTGCTGTAAACTCATAGTGTCAAGCAGTGCTGTAAACTCATAGTGTCAAGCAGTGCTGTAAACTCATAGTGTCACGCAGTGCTGTAAACTCATAGTGTCACGCAGTGCTGTAAACTCATAGTGTCAAGCAGTGGTGTAAACTCATAGTGTCACGCAGTGCTGTAAACTCATAGTGTCACGCAGTGCTGTAAACTCATAGTGTCAAGCAGTGGTGTAAACTCATAGTGTCAAGCAGTGGTGTAAACTCATAGTGTCACGCAGTGCTGTAAACTCATAGTGTCACGCAGTGCTGTAAACTCATAGTGTCACGCAGTGCTGTAAACTCATAGTGTCACGCAGTGCTGTAAACTCATAGTGTCACGCAGTGCTGTAAACTCATAGTGTCACGCAGTGCTGTAAACTCATAGTGTCACGCAGTGCTGTAAACTCATAGTGTCACGCAGTGCTGTAAACTCATAGTGTCACGCAGTGCTGTAAACTCATAGTGTCACGCAGTGCTGTAAACTCATAGTGTCACGCAGTGCTGTAAACTCATAGTGTCACGCAGTGCTGTAAACTCATAGTGTCACGCAGTGCTGTAAACTCATAGTGTCACGCAGTGCTGTAAACTCATAGTGTCACGCAGTGCTGTAAACTCATAGTGTCACGCAGTGCTGTAAACTCATAGTGTCACGCAGTGCTGTAAACTCATAGTGTCACGCAGTGCTGTAAACTCATAGTGTCACGCAGTGCTGTAAACTCATAGTGTCACGCAGTGCTGTAAACTCATAGTGTCACGCAGTGCTGTAAACTCATAGTGTCACGCAGTGCTGTAAACTCATAGTGTCACGCAGTGCTGTAAACTCATAGTGTCACGCAGTGCTGTAAACTCATAGTGTCACGCAGTGCTGTAAACTCATAGTGTCACGCAGTGCTGTAAACTCATAGTGTCACGCAGTGCTGTAAACTCATAGTGTCACGCAGTGCTGTAAACTCATAGTGTCACGCAGTGCTGTAAACTCATAGTGTCAAGCAGTGGTGTAAACTCATAGTGTCAAGCAGTGGTGTAAACTCATTGTGTCAAGCAGTGGTGTAAACTCATGGTGTCAAGCAGTGCTGTAAACTCATAGTGTCACGCAGTGCTGTAAACTCATAGTGTCACGCAGTGCTGTAAACTCATAGTGTCACGCAGTGCTGTAAACTCATAGTGTCACGCAGTGCTGTAAACTCATAGTGTCAAGCAGTGGTGTAAACTCATAGTGTCAAGCAGTGGTGTAAACTCATTGTGTCAAGCAGTGGTGTAAACTCATGGTGTCAAGCAGTGCTGTAAACTCATGGTGTCAAGCAGTGGTGTAAACTCATAGTGTCAAGCAGTGGGGTAAACTCATAGTGTCACGCAGTGCTGTAAACTCATAGTGTCACGCAGTGCTGTAAAATCATAGTGTCACGCAGTGCTGTAAACTCATAGTGTCAAGCAGTGGTGTAAACTCATAGTGTCACGCAGTGCTGTAAACTCATAGTGTCACGCAGTGCTGTAAACTTATAGTGTCACGCAGTGCTGTAAACTCATAGTGTCACGCAGTGCTGTAAACTCATAGTGTCAAGCAGTGCTGTAAACTCATAGTGTCACGCAGTGGTGTAAACTCATAGTGTCAAGCAGTGGTGTAAACTCATAGTGTCAAGCAGTGCTGTAAACTCATAGTGTCAAGCAGTGCTGTAAACTCATAGTGTCAAGCAGTGCTGTAAACTCATAGTGTCACGCAGTGCTGTAAACTCATAGTGTCACGCAGTGCTGTAAACTCATAGTGTCAAGCAGTGGTGTAAACTCATAGTGTCACGCAGTGCTGTAAACTCATAGTGTCACGCAGTGCTGTAAACTCATAGTGTCAAGCAGTGGTGTAAACTCATAGTGTCAAGCAGTGGTGTAAACTCATAGTGTCACGCAGTGCTGTAAACTCATAGTGTCACGCAGTGCTGTAAACTCATAGTGTCACGCAGTGCTGTAAACTCATAGTGTCACGCAGTGCTGTAAACTCATAGTGTCACGCAGTGCTGTAAACTCATAGTGTCACGCAGTGCTGTAAACTCATAGTGTCACGCAGTGCTGTAAACTCATAGTGTCACGCAGTGCTGTAAACTCATAGTGTCACGCAGTGCTGTAAACTCATAGTGTCACGCAGTGCTGTAAACTCATAGTGTCACGCAGTGCTGTAAACTCATAGTGTCACGCAGTGCTGTAAACTCATAGTGTCACGCAGTGCTGTAAACTCATAGTGTCACGCAGTGCTGTAAACTCATAGTGTCACGCAGTGCTGTAAACTCATAGTGTCACGCAGTGCTGTAAACTCATAGTGTCACGCAGTGCTGTAAACTCATAGTGTCACGCAGTGCTGTAAACTCATAGTGTCACGCAGTGCTGTAAACTCATAGTGTCACGCAGTGCTGTAAACTCATAGTGTCACGCAGTGCTGTAAACTCATAGTGTCACGCAGTGCTGTAAACTCATAGTGTCACGCAGTGCTGTAAACTCATAGTGTCACGCAGTGCTGTAAACTCATAGTGTCACGCAGTGCTGTAAACTCATAGTGTCACGCAGTGCTGTAAACTCATAGTGTCACGCAGTGCTGTAAACTCATAGTGTCACGCAGTGCTGTAAACTCATAGTGTCACGCAGTGCTGTAAACTCATAGTGTCACGCAGTGCTGTAAACTCATAGTGTCACGCAGTGCTGTAAACTCATAGTGTCACGCAGTGCTGTAAACTCATAGTGTCACGCAGTGCTGTAAACTCATAGTGTCACGCAGTGCTGTAAACTCATAGTGTCACGCAGTGCTGTAAACTCATAGTGTCACGCAGTGCTGTAAACTCATAGTGTCACGCAGTGCTGTAAACTCATAGTGTCAAGCAGTGGTGTAAACTCATGGTGTCACCCAGTGCTGTAAACTCATAGTGTCAAGCAGTGCTGTAAACTCATAGTGTCACGCAGTGGTGTAAACTCATTGTGTCAAGCAGTGGTGTAAACTCATGGTGTCAAGCAGTGCTGTAAACTCATAGTGTCAAGCAGTGCTGTAAACTCATAGTGTCACGCAGTGCTGTAAACTCATTGTGTCAAGCAGTGGTGTAAACTCATAGTGTCAAGCAGTGCTGTAAACTCATGGTGTCAAGCAGTTGTGTAAACTCATAGTGTCAAGCAGTGGGGTAAACTCATAGTGTCACGCAGTGCTGTAAACTCATAGTGTCACGCAGTGCTGTAAAATCATAGTGTCACGCAGTGCTGTAAACTCATAGTGTCAAGCAGTGGTGTAAACTCATAGTGTCACGCAGTGCTGTAAACTCATAGTGTCACGCAGTGCTGTAAACTTATAGTGTCACGCAGTGCTGTAAACTCATAGTGTCACGCAGTGCTGTAAACTCATAGTGTCAAGCAGTGCTGTAAACTCATAGTGTCACGCAGTGCTGTAAACTCATAGTGTCAAGCAGTGGTGTAAACTCATAGTGTCAAGCAGTGCTGTAAACTCATAGTGTCAAGCAGTGCTGTAAACTCATAGTGTCAAGCAGTGCTGTAAACTCATAGTGTCACGCAGTGCTGTAAACTCATAGTGTCACGCAGTGCTGTAAACTCATAGTGTCAAGCAGTGCTGTAAACTCATAGTGTCACGCAGTGCTGTAAACTCATAGTGTCACGCAGTGCTGTAAACTCATAGTGTCACGCAGTGCTGTAAACTCATAGTGTCAAGCAGTGGTGTAAACTCATGGTGTCACCCAGTGCTGTAAACTCATAGTGTCACTCAGTGGTGTAAACTCATGGTGTCACCCAGTGCTGTAGACTCATGGTGTCAAGCTTTTGTGTAAACAAATGGTGTCAAGCACTGGTGTAAATTCGTGGTTTGAAGAAGTGCCGTAAACTCATGGCGTCAAGCAGTGCTGTAAACTTATTGCGTTAAGCAGTGGTGTAAACTCATGTTGTCAAGCAGTGGTGTAAACTCATGGTGTTAAGCAGTGGTGTAAACTCATGGCGTCAAGCAGTGGTGTAAACTCATGGCGTCAAGCAGTGGTGTAAACTCATGGTGTCACCATCCTTACGACTAAGTTCCCTGTGGATTTCGTTTTAGTCTGCTTTGTCTTGTGAAACCTTTGTCTTATTACACCTTTCACTGATGGCACCTTTCACTTATGGCAACTTCCTTTCACTGATGGCACCTTGCACTGTTGGCACATTGGACTGATGGCCCCTTCTTTGCACTGATGGCAACTTCCTTGCATTGATGGCACCTTGTACTGATTGCACCTTGCACTGATGTTATCTCCCTTGCTCTTCTGGCACCTTGCACTGATGGCACCTTGCACTGATGGCACCTTGCACTGATGGCACAGTGGACTGATGACCCCTTCTATGCACTGAAGGCAACTTCCTTGCATTGTTGGCACCTTGTACTAATGGCACCTTGCACTGGTGACACTTTTCGCTGATGGCACCTTTCATTGCTTATTTACTAATTAGACCTGTTATCAAACTGAGTTCTGTCAAATGTACTATATTCCATCTCGTGTCACCCCTGTTCAGAGTGCAACCCCCCCCCCCACCATTGGTGACGCTACTGGGAGGGACAAGTCCTTAAACATCGCTGTAACAAAAAAATTGTTTCTACATTATAAAATAAGATATCATAAGATAAGAGAACGAGGTGGAGAGTGGGGTGGAGGGTGACTGTTTGTAGTGACAGAGGGGAACAAGGGGAGAGACTAAGATGGTGGACAGTAGTCGTTGACTCACCTTCCTTCGCCGTGTGTTCAATCGTGATATCGACGTACGTGGTCAAGCTGTCGAACAGGACAGGATCAGACGCTGATAACAGCTTGTAGCTCCAGCTTTTGACTGATTCTCGGACAGCACTTGACAGGAAGCTTTCCAAGACATTGCAGACAATCGACGAGAAATTGATGCTCTGTGAAGTTGGTTTATCACGAAAATATGGATGTGGTTGATATGGATATAAGACGTGTGTGGTTGGCATAGAGACAAGACGGAAACTGTTGGCATAGAGACATGATGGAAACAGTTGGCATAGAGACAAGATGGAAACAGTTGGCATAGAGACAAGATGGAAACAGGCGGCATAGAGACAAGATGGAAACAGTTGGCATAGTGGCATAGAGACAAGATGGAAATAGTTGGCATAGAGACAAGATGGAAACAGTTGGCATAGAGAAAAGATGGAAACAGTTGGCATAGAGACATGATGGAAGTTGTTGCCATGGGGACAAGACGCATGCGCGTATTATTTTGTTTCATACAATTTACAAAGACATCATTTGATAGTATTCTCATCACTTGCTACTACACTATCACCTTTGTGCTACGGATTTAAAGCTAGGTAGGATTAATATTGTCTTCATGGCTACCGGGAAATAAGGCACCTGGATGGGGCCATAAAAAAATGAATAAGCTTATGACCCAACAGCAAATTAACCGTTTTGGGCAACCGAATATAGCGCCTATCAGCAAATCTTCCACAAAAGCCTACAATAGCAGGCATTCTGCTTTCCGGGCTTAGATCAAAAGAAGACAACCCGGAAATTTGATTGGCTGTCTGAAAGACTCCCTAAAGTTCCACAACATAAACACGCAGCAGATCGTCAACTGTAACCCCCCCCCCCCTGGTCCCCCCAGACGCCCCAAAACAGTTTTACGAAGTCATTTGCAAAATTAAATGTGAATTAACCCGGAAATTTGATTGGCTGGCTGAAAGACTCCCTAAAGTTCCACAACATAAACACGCCGCAGATCGTCAACTGTAACCCCCCCCCCCCTGGTCCCCCCAGACGCCCCAAAACAGTTTTACGAAGTCATTTGCAAAATTAAATGTGAATTACGCACATGCGCAGACGGTTCTCAATACTCACCGAATGGTTGCCTCTGAAAACGAATCGAATGCCCTCAATCATGATCAAATCATTAATGTCTGTAGCTGATGGTTTGCCTGTGGTTGTCAATAACAGCGGTGTTGTTGATGTGGCCGATGCCATCGTGGTTGCGTTGGTAATTGCTCCAGCAGCTGTTGCTGGTGTCCAAGTTTGTGTGGGCGATGCCATCGTGGTCGTGGTTGTAGTTGCTCCAGCAGCAGTTGAAGTTTCAGATGATGTACTGCCGGAAGTTGATGGGTCACGCGTAAGAGTCGTGAGGGAGTCACCGTGTTGTTGTTCAGCATGTGAAGATTCAGTTCTCTCGGCTTCCGCTACGGTAGTCGCTGATATGTCACCAGATGATGTATCCGTGCTGGATGTCTCTTCTGTGGATTGAGCACCTTGGGTGGCGCCGCCAGTCATTACAGACACTGACCGGGTTAGATCGTTGTCAGCGGCATCGGTTGTTGAAGACTTGGACGTTGTCACGTAAACAGTATCACCAGTATCCCCAGATCCGTCGCCGGGATGACTCGTTGAGTTGGCGTCCAAAGATGTGTCCACTTCTGAAGAGACCGACATGGGTGAGACGGAGGAAGTTTCATCACCGGTGTCTAGAGGGGGCGACATCGTTGTCGTGTCGCCATCAGTTGATTCCACGCGCTGTGATATTTTATCAGTTGTTTTATCCGTGGATTCGGTCGTGGTTTCTGATGGTGCGAACGTAGTCGATTGTTGAAAGTCCATTGGTGGTGCATCGTTGTTGGTGTCTGCCTCGCTGGACATAACGCTTGGGCCTGGGGTTGAATCGGTAGGCACACCGCCGGTGATGTCCGATGAGTGCGATACGATGATGGTGGTTTCTTGTTGTGCAACACTGGTTGAGACGACTCCAGTTGCATCCGTGGTGGGTACGTTTTCAAGTGCATCCATGGTTGGTACGTCAGGGCTCGTGGTGTCTGTTGGTGTGGTGCTTGTGAACGATTCGGTTGTTGGTGCAGGCGCTGGGACATCTATTGATTCGTCACTCACCGTGACGTCGGATGGCGTGGTATACGATGTGGCTTCACCAGACGAGTTGCAAGGGTAGGTGTCATTTTGGGTGGCACTCGTTTGTGGATCACTTCCACCGTTCGTTGGTGGATCACTTCCACCTTTCGTTGGTGGATCACTTGTACCGTTCGTTGGTGGATCACTTGTAACGTTCGTTGGTGGATCATTTCCACCGTTCGTTGGTGGATCACTTGTACCGTTCGTTGGTGGATCATTTCCACCGTTCGTTGGTGGATCACTTCCACCTTTCGTTGGTGGATCACTTGTACCGTTCGTTGGTGGATCACTTGTAACGTTCGTTGGTGGATCACTTGTACCGTTCGTTGGTGGATCATTTCCACCATTCGTTGGTGGATCACTTCCACCTTTCGTTGGTGGATCACTTGTACCGTTCGTTGGTGGATCACTTGTAACGTTCGTTGGTGGATCATTTCCACCGTTCGTTGGTGGATCACTTGTACCGTTCGTTGGTGGATCATTTCCACCGTTCGTTGGTGGATCACTTCCACCGTTTGCTGGTGGGGTGGTCGATGGTGTGTCCGTGTCGCCTGCCCCTAGTGTAGTATCGACGTCTGATGTGGTCGTTGCTGCTGCTGATGATATCATGTAAAAAAAAAAATCATATCAGGTATAGATGTTAAGTTTTAAATGGGATTAAGCAAACGAAATAGGTAACATTTATATTGGAGAGGAAGAAAATCATTTAGATTAAAAATTATTCTTGTCTATGTTCTATGTTTTTGTTGTTTTTTTGTGTGTTTTTTTGTGTGTTTTTTTGTGTGTTTTTTTGTTTGTTGTTGTTTTTTATGGAAAAGTGCATTCCGTTGCTGTTAGTTATCAATAAGCGTATAGTATTGATGATATCAAACCACCGCTACAGATGTTAGCCAATTTATTTTATATCAAGAGGTGGTAGATATTTGCGTGCACAGAATGATGGGGAAATGGTAGAAACTCACTACGATACGAGAGCTTCATTTTCAAACCTTAAAATTAAAAAAATCCAATCAAAGATTTTCATACTTAATCTTTTTTTTTAAGATTTAAAAAAAAAAAAAACTATTTGGAAAAACTCGGCTCATCATAAAAGCAAATATTAATGGTTTCCTTATTTTAGCTCTTGTATAAAAATAAAAACTCTGAGAAATTTAAGGGATTGAGTACAGAAAACGAGACGTGTGTTTACGGATTGCGTCCCTTGTGTTATGTTAAGTAAGCCTGTCGTCTCATTTTTATTGAGTGCTGTAACAGCTTGTGCATGTACGTATCGTCATTTGAAATCTTATCTATGTCATNATTTTAAAACCTTAAAATTAAAAAAATCCAATCAAAGATTTTCATAATTAATTTTTTTTTTTAAGATTAAAAAAAAAAAAAAAAAAACTATTTGGAAAAACTCGGCTCATCATAAAAGCAAATATTAATGGTTTCCTTATTTTAGCTCTTGTATAAAAATAAAAACTCTGAGAAATTTAAGGGATTGAGTACAGAAAACGAGACGTGTGTTTACGGATTGCGTCCCTTGTGTTATGTTAAGTAAGCCTGTCGTCTCATTTTTATTGAGTGCTGTAACAGCTTGTGCATGTACGTATCGTCATTTGAAATCTTATCTATGTCATCCACCAACATCCGTACGTCTTGGAGATTCCTTTTTTTTTTTTATGTCTCCACTTCAGCGAGTATACAGCTCAAGAGTCTGATCCTGAAGTGTCGGTCATCTTCACTTTACTCATGTCAACGTTGAGAAGGTTGATCACGCGTCAACCTTCCTGTTGGCTCTTTTTTCGCCAGGGCTTGCGTTTGGCGCAAGGTTTCGCCTGTTTAACTCCATGTTGTACAGCAGTTCGCTAGCTAGTTCAGGCGTTAATCAAAGCCATGGGCACCCACAGGGTTGGGTCAGAGGGGGCAAACTTTAAGGGGGTCAGAAAACCAGCGCTCCTACCCCCTGCCCCCGAAATAACTTTAGCACCAACTAGTAAAGAAAAAAAAATGCGAAGTACAGGTGACCTTAATTATCAATTGACCCCCCCCCCACTTTTTTATATATAATCACAGGCCTCCCCGTGTTTATGCTGGTCACCTTTATATCACTCCTATAAATAAAACCCCGAAATACCTTTAGCACCAAATAGCAAAGAAAAAAAAATGCGAAGTACAGGTTACCTTAATCATCAATTGACCCCCCCCCCCCACTTTTTTATATATAATCACAGGCCTCCGCGTGTTGATGCTGGTCACCTTTATATCACTCCTATAAATAAAAAAATATCTTACTCGACATGTTGGACAGTCCTTTGCCCAGCATTCCCACATCAAAAACTGTCAATTTTATTATCGATTCCTCAAATTAAGACCAGTCTCGTTTTCTGAACCGATTCCCCGAAGGTGTCTATGATCCAATAACATTAACGTAAATATTTCTTTTGTTTCTTTACTTTAATTTATTTTTAAATAATAAACATCTAACAAAACCTAGTGCAATAAAATGTTTGATGGCTATTCTGCTATAAAAACATGTCATGGACTCACATTCCGTGGTGCTGGCCTCATCATGGACATCTCCCGTCCTTGCTATCACTGACCGAGGTAGCAGTGGCTCATGAGGATCTGTTACAATGAGATCAAACATTTTTAGTTTGGATGATTTATTGCAATTTTAGTTGTTGTTTTTTTTCAATGTCACAACTTGTCAACATGGAAGGCAGACCGGGGGGGGGGGTCTATGAGTTAGTACTGGCGAAGTGTCTATTGGGGAATGGTATCAGTACTTGTTAACGTATGTTATCAAGCTGATGGGTAATTCTCCATACTGGTTTTAAGGCAATTTTTCCCCACCCCCTTTGCTTCACCCACCCAACATGAAAAAAAAACAAAAGAAAAAATAAGAAAACATAAACAATAAGTTACTGTATAAAGAAATTTAAATATCCTGGTTAGAGACATATTGTTACTACATGTTACACTTTTTTTTTAATTGGAGAGTGGGCGGGTAAGTTCATGGAGCTCTTCTGAATGTTGTATCGCGTGGACCGTCATAGGTAAGAACTTCACATCGTCCCCCAACTGTCTGAATTGTATTTTAAAGCAATCACTGTGGCGTGACGTATGTTGTCTAGGGGTCGGTCCCCTCTGATCTAGCCACAGAACAATTTTTTCAAGGGTCTAGAACCCCTTTATTTCCAGCTCCTACAGAGCTGACTCTTGCTCCAAGTATCAACAAACAATTCAGGGTTTCAGGTTTTCTTATTTATTGGCTATGTGTGCCTATATGCCACTACACAAAACAGTTAAAGTTACACAAGTCCTCTTCCATCGTAGAAAAACTCACTGCCTTTCACAAGACAAAAATCATACACCATATCCACAGCACTCGCCACTGCTCACTCCTTAAAAAAAACTCACACACTTGGTTTTTTCAGACACAGCACACCGGTCATACCTTGACCGAGAACAAATAAAAACTCGTGGGGCACACGGGGAAAATAAACTCACCCACGATTGGTCAAATTAACATTATAGACGTTGACACAAAAAACTCACGCGATCTGACCGTGACAATCACCCTTTAGAGTATAACATGGCGTGAGGACCGCTGATCGTCGCCCGTCTTCGCAAAATTGTTTCACTTGAGTATTATTTCATCGCGCGGAAGGTCACTAGATCTAATTTCTAAAACAGATGACCTATGATAGTTTATCGTGGAAGGTCACTAGATCTAAGCTCTAAAACAGATGACCTATGATAGTGTATCGTGGAAGGTCACTAGATCTAAGCTCTAAAACAGATGACCTATGATAGTGTATCGTGGAAGGTCACTAGATCTAAGCTCTAAAACAGATGACCTATGATAGTGTATCGTGGAAGGTCACTAGATCTAAGCTCTAAAGTGGATGGTCACTAGATCTAAGCTCTAAAACAGATGACCTATGATAGTGTATCGTGGATGTTCACTAGATCTAAGCTCTAAAACAGATGACCTATGATAGAGTATCGTGGAAGGTCACTAGATCTAAGCTCTAAAACAGATGACCTATGATAGAGTATCGTGGATGTTCACTAGATCTAAGCTCTAAAACAGATGACCTATGATAGAGTATCTTGGAAGGTCACTAGATCTATACGCTAAAACAGATCACAAATGACAGTGTGTTGTTCCGTCTCTTTTGGAGCAGTGGTAACTATTTCGGTTTGAGAGGAACTTCGCCTAAAATGTCTCTTAGCTTTTAAGTTATCAATAAGGCTTCGTTCGTAAATTACGTCAGGCAAAAAATGACCTTTTCAGACCCCCTGTCACAAATGTGACGCAAATTCTTTACCCCACCCCCTCTTTTTTAGTGTTACGTCACACTTTAAAAAATTCAAAACGTACATGAAATTTTAATAACTAAACAAATATTTCATTTTATTCTCTAACATTTTCCCCACAATGGATTTGGATGATGCTCAATGGTAAAAATTTGAAGTTGTTTTTTCGTTTCGTGAAACTTCCTGCTCAGTGTTCTCAAATGTCTAGCAGCTATTGCCATCTTGTACAATATTCGTATCAAACATATCAACTGACAATGGCATTTACTGTAAAATGCAAAAAATATATATATATATGTTGCGAAATTGCTATTTTTAAAGAAATAAATATTCCTCTTTGTGAATTTATCAAGTTGTGTTACGGTTAACTACCACGGTTAAAAAGTATTAAGCTGTTATGTACTCATCGATACATAAGAATAAATAGTTCGCCAGTCACGAGGCATACACCATGATGCAAAAATGATATCGCCGTGTTTGGGAAAGATATGCGCTCCACGCCACTGATGACAAAATAATTTGTTGTTAGGAAACTGTGACGTAAAACGCAAAACAACGAAGTCATCCCCGAGTTTTCGATATGCGCAGAAGTTTTGCGCGACTGAGTTTAACTGTACCTATTACATGAGGCGATTCCAAACCACAAAAATGTTTTTAAAATTAGTTGATTAAAATTTTTCAAGATTAGAAAATGATAGATTTTTTAAATTTATCTTTTGGGACTTCACAATTTTTGACCTTCTCCCTACCCCCTGTTTCAAATTCTCGATTCACCCACACCCCTCCACCTCCCNCCCCCCCCCCCCCCCCTTTTTTTTTTTTTTTTTTTTGAGCGTGACATAAATTACGAACGACCCTTAAAAGTCTTACCTCGTGCGCAGATGGCAACAGAACATCGATCAATTGGAGGGGTGGGAAACTGGTAGACTGTGATACCACTGCACACAGATATCCTCACAGGGGTTCTCAACACGCAACAGTCGTATTTGCCTTCAAGACGAATCACAGACATGTAGTTAAAATAATTGTGGTAGCAATACTTTTTATTTTCTTTTTGGTATCACGAGTGACAAATTATAGGTGAACGCAAAAATCTAAATGGCTGACTTAGACCAAGACAAAAAGTTTAGAAAGCCATAGTCAACAGCAGCCCCTAAATATTTACAATCGCGTGAAATTATAGATCTAGCCGCGCCGAGTTGTGGGTGTTAGCGGCGACTGGCAGTTTTAAATTTAGTTTACAAGTCCAGGGAGACGAGAATGAAAGAGTTAACAGTAGCACCGAATTGTTTAAAAGCGCACAAAAATTATTATTATATTATATTAAACGTTATTCAAAGTCTGACAAACATACATAGCTGCCAGTAAGCCTTTTTTGTAATTCCTTGACATTAACACTGCGCTTCTCCGTGTGTTCGTTTTAGGCAAACATCTTCGGATGGCTAACTTACCCACTTCCCTAATCCCATCGAGTTGAAACTTGGCACACAGACTCGTCCCCTAATCATATTCTTTCAGATTTCTGAAAGATTTTTTTTTTCACAATCATATGACGGCAAAGGGAAATTGCTTCAAACGGAAAGGCTATCAGTAGAGCATAATTTCAAAAATTAAAATGCGTACAATTTATTGAAAACCCTAAAAAAAAAAAAAAAAAAAAAAAAAAAAAATTTAAAAAATAAAAATGATAACAATATATTAAAAACCCTAAAAAAAAAAAAAAAAAAAAAAAAAAATGAAATTGTCCTTACCCAATATATTGTAAGAGCCACATAAAAATGCTTCAGTGATGTCTCCCTCTTTTGGAAGTGATTGGTTTAATTCCAGTCTCATGGCGATCTTAGCTCCGCATTTGTTATTCTATGGATTCAAAGCATGGCAAATATCACAACAATGTGTTTCAACAAGACAAAGTCTTTGGAAGTGTTTAAGAGTTGAACTACAAAGTTTTCCTACGTGTTGAGTATACCTGACGCCCTTTGAATATGGCTACCTGGTTGTACGAAGAGAACCCGATGCTCCACTGAAATGTCCTACTGGTTGTACACAGCGTACCCTATGCCCGATTGAAATTGCCTACTGGTTGTACACTATCAGTGACCGAAATTTTAAAAGGGTAGAAGGGCGTATGAATCATGAAAAGTCAAACGTATATTAATTATATTTATTTCACTTACTTAAAAACCAAAATAATATAATATTGTGACTGCGAACTGTTATATTTATGATTTGATAATGCGACAAACTTTCTTTAAAATGTACCTCCTGTGTTCAATGTTATTTTCGCGATAGGAATTAAAAAGTTCCTTTTTATGTTAATTTTTTTTTAAAATGTATTTTCATAGTTGTGGGGAAAAATGACGCCGTCTTGTAAGTCTCCGACTTTGAGTCTACGACTTTGAGTCTCTGATAGTGAGTCTCCGATGTTAAGTCTCTTAATGTGAATCTCCTACTCTGAGTCTCTGAGTCTCTTCTGATTGCAAGTTTGCATCCCTTCAAGGTGGGTTAAATATTCAGTCATATTTAGAGACTCTTAGAATCAAATAAATGCACTAGGTGTAATGGACGATGTGAAAAGGACATTTTAATTCACTGGGTTATTTACCACCTATGATGAGGTCCATATGATTTCTTTAATGGAATTGTATCTTCATGACCCACGGCAATGGGAGATTAAGAACAATAACGTTCATGGGTTGGGGGGGGGGGGCAAATATAACATAATGAGGGCTTACATAAACTAGTGGGGCCTACATAACCTAGTGGGGACCTAAATAATCTATTGGGAGCCTACATATCATAAGGGGGGCCTAAATAACGTAGTGGGGGCCAACGTAATCTAGTGAGGGCCTACATAACCTACTAAAGGCCTACACAACCTAGTGGGAGCCTACATAACCTAGTGGAAGCCTACATAACCTAGTGGGAGCCTACATACCCCAGTGGGAGCCTCCTTAACCTAGTGAAGCCTACATAACCTAGTGGGAGCCTACATAACCTAGTGGGAGCCTACATAACCTAGTGGGAGCCTACATAACCTAGTCGGAGCCTAAATAACCTAGTCGGGGCCTGCATAATCTATTGGAGGCCTATTAAACCTAATGTGTGCCTGCATAACCAAATGGAGGCCTGCATAACCTAGTGGGGGCCTACATAACCTAGTAGGGACCTATATAACCACTCGACCAATCAAACATCTTCTCTTTCTCCCCCCCCCCCAAACGCCATTTTGATTCACTTTGCCTTCTTCTGATTAAATACGCACAATAGGCCGCAGACATCTAGTTCCGGTACACGATATGTTAGCGCCATTCCGGAAGAAGATCGCAAAGATCTTTACTAAACAAGTAGACTTTGAAATGAGTTCCGAGAAGGCTGTAAGTGGATCAGCTGTAGAGGAAACACACTGTCGTATCGGGGGCAAGATGTGCCGTCTTATGAATATATGGAGTGTCCTGTTTAGAGTTTTTCGTTGACCAGTGTTTGTGTGTCTTTGACAAAATAAACACCAGTGTCTGTGTGTCTTTGACAAAATAAACACCAGTGCCTGTGTGTCTTTGACAAAATAAACACCAGTGTCTGTGTGTCTTTGACAAAATAAACACCAGTTTCTGTGTGTCTTTTGAAAAAATAAACACCAGTGTCTGTGTGTCTTTGACAAAATAAAAAGTTGCGTCTGTTACTGTTTTCATAATCAAGGTCGATTATGGTTTCTGTCAATGAACTTTGATTTGTATTGATCACCCAAACATAATCTTGGTCCAGGTTGTCGAAAAGAACGATAGATTACAGTTAGTTTCTATCAAGGACAGGCGATTTGTAGGTGGTCATCAATTGAATGATAAAAAAAAAGAAAGAAATAGCTATTCGATTAAATTCACAAGAAAGTAAAATTGTACTGCAATTAAAATTAATTTAAAAAAACAACGGCCAGGTGCATGCCAACAACATGACAACAGCGTGACAACATCATGACTATCGCATTACAACAACATGCTAACTTTCAATCGCAGAGAACGTGTCCATAAAAAAATCCCTGTTAACTGTTTGCCACTCAGATATCAAGAGTAAGTTTCAATGATTACTAAAATACAGTATATTTGTATAACATGATAAACCACAGATTATTCTAGTTGACAACGTTTTGAAATATTTTTTTTAAAAAAATGCTTTTTTTTGTAATCTACAGATTGAAAACTGCAAATTGTAACCGAAATGTTAAAAACTCCATAATGCTGCGGTCATGTGATCACAGCTTCCGTAGTTAGAGCAAGTGTTTACTTGTTGTTTTTTTACTGCAAAGCACCGGAAGCTTTTCGCCAACAAATGGGTTTGAATAATTTGACAAACAGCTACTCTAATAGAACCAGCTTAATTGGCAACTCCCAGCTTTTGGACGTACCTTAATGCACTCGGTGGGAATATCGGAGTAACTACCATTCACACTGAATGCGTACCACTTCCCCGCCTCTAACACGTCCCTGTCGCAGTGTTCAGGCTTAGCTGTGCTGGACACGGAGCGCCACTCGTCATTTACAACGTAAAAATCTGAGCATAGATCTGCGAATAGAAAAAGGTCATTAAAAGATTTCTGGTGAATCCTTACACACACAAATATTATATATATATATATATATATATATATATATATANGTCCTGTCTGATAGACTAACAAAAAGTCTCTAACAATTTTGTCCTGTCTGATAGACTAACAAAAAGTCTCTAACAATTTTGTCCTGTCTGATAGACTAACAAAAAGTCTCTAACAATTTTGTCCTGTCTGATAGACTAACAAAAAGTCTCTAACAATTTTGTCCTGTCTGATAGACTAACAAAAAGTCTCTAACAATTTTGTCCTGTCTGATAGACTAACAAAAAGTCTCTAACAATTTTGTCCTGTCTGATAGACTAACAAAAAGTCTCTAACAATTTTGTCCTGTCTGATAGACTAACAAAAAGTCTCTAACAATTTTGTCCTGTCTGATAGACTAACAAAAAGTCTCTAACAATTTTGTCCTGTCTGATAGACTAACAAAAAGTCTCTAACAATTTTGTTCTGTCGCAGGATGAAGGCAGCCACCCACCAAGGTTATTCCAGTTGTCAAATGCCAAAGGATTTATCAGTGTTGAGGAGATCCATGACTTCGTCCAGGTAACAACAAGGCTAATAGTGTTCCATACATTTTATTATAGGCTACAGTGGCGTAGAAAGTGAGATTTGGGTGGGGGGTTGTGGTCCACCATAGGCCGCACTTTTTTCCTTATGTGGAGGGGCGGCATTTTTTTAAAGGTGCAGAGCTTTTCCGAAGTGTGGCATAAAAAATCATAGCCCGCCCACCTCAGGCACCACTAACTCTGTCTACCCCCCTTCTTTTCTTCGCCCCTAGTTAGTTTAGCATTTAGTTATAAATGCATTTCTATTTTTATTTCTTACTCAAACGTCTGACCACGTCATACCAAGTTCATTAGAGTAGACCCCGTTACAAGGAGAGAAAAAAAGGCCACCAGGAATATGACAAATTTTATAATTAGCCTGAGCTCTCCTATTTACGACTCAAGTGTTTTTTCATCTCTAAGTGACTGGCTTCTTATCAGACTCCATAGTGAGCCGGTGAGGAGGGTGGGGGGGGGGTGTTGAGGAGGATATGAGGATAGAAGGACGATAAGGAGGACAATAACTAGGAATGCATGACTTAGCACAGAGGTTCTTGAAATTTAACAACCTGAGGGGCAATTTCATAAATAATAACACTTGTCACCACAAAACTCGGTGCCTCAAATGTAAGACTTGTTCCTATATTTGACGGGTTGATTCCAAGAAATGGCGCCAATCTTTCCCACATCAGATCTATTGAACATGTGTCTTTTTTTTTAAACACAATGCATTATATTAATTATTTAAAGAAAATTTTGATGCATGAAAATATATTTAGTTTATTTCAAAAGAAAGTATTTTATGGAGGCTTCCCATTAAAATTCTGCACAAATGAAGTTCCTTTCATCAGACTTCATAAGATAGGATCCAACAGGAAAATCTCAAATAAGATTTCAACAAAAATCTTCATCATATGTCCATTCCATCTACCTTACATGCCGCTGCATTCTTTTGTCGTGGTTAAATCTTTAACTACACTTTTCACTTCAGGTTCTCACATAGTTAATGGGGTAGGCATAAAAGGTACTTTGGGGTCACCTTTGGGTTCACAGTCATCGGTGTTCTATTCTGAATGTTTATCCCCAACTTTATAATAAACTAAGTGTGTGTGTAGAAGCATGGGCGCCCGCAGGTAGGGTATTGATTGGATAAAAATATTTTAGACAAAAATAGACAAAAAATTTATTAAAGTAAAGAGAAAATAAAGAAAAAGTAAGTAAGCTGATGTCCTGTCCGTTCGTTCACCATACAAATACGCTAGAGTAAATTAGAACTATATTAAAACATTACTAAAAATTGTTTGCCCCCCCCCCCTCCTGGAAAGTTAATCGATTTTTTTGCCCCCCCAACAAATTTTTATCCCCCCCCCCCCCTCAGAAAATAAACTAATTTTTTGCCCCCCCCCCCCCCCAGAAAGTTTTCTACGGGCGCCCATGTGTGGAAGTGAGAATTGCAAGTGTTTGATTTAGCCCCAAATCAGCAATGATTAAAATTTAAGTCCCTGAATGTGTGGGAGCATTTCATGAGGCTGGCGATGTCTCAAAGGCATCATTTGTTACACACGTAACATTGTCAGTCCATTGAAGATTGCACCTTTTTTAAAAATTAAATTATTTACATGTGGTGAACTTATTTTAAACTTCTTAATTACCAGACAAAATAAGTTTTTGACTGAATGTTATTACTCACATCCGATATTCAAAAGGTAGTGTTACAGTATCAAACCTGGGCTCTTAATGAAATGCTCGAGAGTAAAATAATAACATGTTTTATGATTATGTCCAAGGCGAGGTGTTGTCAACACAAGAAAGGGGGACACATTCGGAACCGAGAAATAAGATAACAAGGGTTGGTGCTCTCCCAATCAGATAGTGTATTGCTCAACAAAAAATTAATTGTTATGACACCTGGTCAGAATACCTGACAACCAACCTGCAATGCAAGCGTACAACGGCAGGCACTCCGGTTTCAGGAATATTAAGTGAAACAGGATGAGCCCCAAATTCAATGTGTACAAGAATTGTTATAAATCTGGCCTGATATATGAGAAGATTTAAATTTTAATAGTTAATTTAGTGACGTGTTTTTTGACAACGTTTTCGCTTACAACGCTGTATGATATTGAATTTTGTTCTGAATGAAACTCCGATCAAAGCCGGTTGTATTGGCTAGAAATTCAGCAAAATTGACCTACAAAGACATACATAGAATAAACCATTTAAAAAAAAAAAATTTAACAATAGCTTAAAATTTAGAGCTGTTAAGAAAAATATGAAGCGATTTTAGGAGTCATATTTTAGGAGTCATATTTTAGGAGTCATATTTTAGGAGTCATATTTTAGGAGTCATTATTTTAGGAGTCATATTTTAGGAGTCATATTTTAGGAGTCATATTTTAGAATTCATATTTTAGGAGTCATATTTTAGGTGTCATATTTTAGGAGTCATATTTTAGGAGTCATATTTTAGGAGTCATATTTTAGGAGTCATATCTAAGGAGTCATTATGTTAGGAGTCATATTTTAGGAGTCATATTTTAGGAGTCATATTTTAGGAGTCATATTTTAGGAGTCATTATTTGGGAGCCAAACAACACTGGGAACAGATCTAAAACGCAAGGCAAAAAAGATAAAAGTTGTCTTGATTTTGTTGTTGTTGGCATGCGTATTTAATGCACCTCTGCTTACAATGGTTTTGATACTGAGTGTTTAATTTAATCCTCTCTACAAATGTTTATATAGCCTAAAATACTGATGGCTTTTTTTAAAATCATTTTCTGTCTCGGGTTGATCCTGTAGTATAGGCCGAAACGTGCCAAAGTGTCCTCGTTTTATAGCCATTTTAATTGTTTCTATAGTATAGTAGTTACTATCCTAGTGTCTCATTTTTATTGTAGTTAGTTTACATGTTTTTAATAATTCTAAAGCGCTTAGAGCTTTAAGGTAAGGGCTATATAAAAATGCCTAAATAAATAAATCAATCTACCTTTCTTTACAACAGATAATTCAAGGTCAACTCAGAGGGTACAATTATATAAGTGAAACTTTGCCAAAAATATCTTCTTAATTTCTCGTCATATTTTTGGAAAAATGTGAGAGGGGAAAAGGGGGAGAGGGAAAGAGAGGGTGAAAGAGACTGGAAGACAGAGAGGGTGAAAGATAGGAGAGAGGGTGGTAGAAGGCAGAGAGAGGGAGAGACAGTGAGTGAACGAGAACTAGAGGATATGGGCGAGCAGTGAGGGATGTTCGATTCTATTACCACGTGGCTCGACGAGGATAGGGTTAAATTTCTTTGACTATTTTGAATTTCTATTTGTTATGTGTTATGAAACGTTTTTTTGCATAGCTTGATATTTAAGGTAGCCAATTTATCTTCAAGCATTCAAAGAAATACTGCGCCTTGAATTAACACTAGCTTACACATTTTAACTGTTTGGGTACCAAATGAGTTTATTCACTGGGTTGTCTGTGACAGCTGGGTTTTTTTCTTTATTCTATTTATTAAAATAAGTTCAACAATAAATTAAAACAAAGTATTGGCTGTTTCTATTAGGCCATCACCACGTGACCGACTTTAGTGGTGGAAAATAACAACAACAAAACACACGCACGCACACACAAATGAACAAACGCTGAGGTTTTTGCGACCGCGATCCTTCTTTAAGTCCTTCGTATTAACTTCACTTTTAGTTCGTGGCTGGCTGACTGGCAAAATCTTCGGACGGATGATTTGACTCACTTCCCGTCACCCTATCTACTTGGCACATGCACTCGTTGCCGATGACAATACATATTTTAATTTTTGTAGCCCCCCCCCCCCCAACCCCAACCAGCAAACATCAGTGTTTCCGTTGTTTTTTGTGTTGTTTTGTCAAGTGGAAAATGAAGGAAATATGGATTCACGAAACAAAACTCGTTTGGTTGGTACTATTTTTTTTTTTTTTAATTTATTTATTTTTTTTTAAAATAGTTGGTGAAATAAGTCTGCGGTTTAAAAAGCTGTTAGGTCATAAGAATATTGATATAGTCCAGTGGCGTAAAAAAAAATTGCGGCTGCGAGGCTTGGGGGGGGGGAGATTCTTATAAAGTGCGTTACTTGTGTGCATGTTTTGTCAATTTTTCAGCCCCCCCCTCCCCCCTCCCCCCACACCTCCTGTTGCTCGATATTTCATTTTATACAGGATTTATACCAAACCCTTTGTTTTTAAGGGGTTGTTAAACTTAAACTGAAGTTAAGACAATGGCATTGTCAATGCTTTGAAAGATACATTGGTTTTATCATTTGACATCTTTTGACTTACCTATTTATAGGATTGACCCACTTCCCAAGCAAACTTTAATTTACTAAGTTTGGTCTATTCATATTTAGAATTTCAAAAGTTAATTTTGTCAGCCATAAATAGCATCAGGTGTCAATAGCCGATTACCATGCGGATGATAATGGCAGATGGCAATGTGAGATGGTAATGTGAGATGGTAATGTGAGATGGTAATGTGAGATGCCAATGCCAGATTTCAATCTTTGGTGTCAATGTCACATGCCATGTAAGAGGAAAATACCAAAAAATCAAAGATGATGTCTCGGTCAGACCAGATGTCAATTTTCGATGAAATAACAGGTGTCAATGTTAGAGGCCAATTACGAGTATCAAGGAGACATGTCACCGTTAAATATCAATGTCAGGTGGCATATCAACTGAAGTTTTGAAGTCAATGGGAATTATCAATGTTAAATGTCGGATCTAAGATGCCAATGTCTTACAAAACTCGAAACAAGTTAGACTTTAATTTATTTTTATTTTTTTACTATGGAAATAAGTGTAAAAATTACCAAAGTCTCTTGCCATAAAAGAAAGTCTATTCCACAGAGAGGAATGGAAGAGGATGGTTCACATGTCATCTGTGGCGCCCCAATGGTCCAAGGACTAAGGGACATGAGGATGAGGAGGATTCCACAGTGCGATTCGGTGCGCACGCCAAATTCTAGTGTTCAAAGTTCTTTAGTGTACACTATTAAAATGCGTCGATATTATTTAATAAGGCAACGTCTATCTTTAGCTCTAGAAAGAGTATCAACTAGCATATCTCTGTTGCCGTTGATGTTAGTTGCTGCTGTTGTTATTGGTTAGTTGTTTGCTGATGTTGTTGTTGGTGGTGGGGGGGGGTGTTACTTAGTTGTTGTTGTTAGTTGCTGTTGTTGCTGTTAGTTGCAGTTGTCAGTTGCTGTTGTTGCTGTTAGTTGCTGTTGTTAGTTGCTGTTGTTGCTGTTAGTTGCTGTTGTCAGTTGCTGTTGTTGCTGTTAGTTGCTGTTGTTAGTTCATGTTGTTGTTGATGGTGTTAGTGAGTTGCCGTTAATCATCTTGTTGGTCCTATTTAGTTTTTGCTATCGTTGTCGCTAGCTGTTGTCTTCTTCATCGACCGACGCTTTTACACTTTTACGCCACGAATTTATACGCACCAGATGGACGGAGAAAAAGAAAGTTCATTCAGAAAATTCTCAAGGTACAGCAATTAAATCTGGTGACCTAACCCGAATCAGACTCTTCTCACGCCATAAAGTACTTAAGATACCTTTTCAAGTTTAACGCTCACATTAGAACCTTAGAGTATAATCCCCAAACTTGTCTCATCAGCCATTGACTACACACACAAAAAAAAAAAAATGTTGTACTCACCCCCTCTGGCGGACGGAAGCATCGCGCCAATCATTATTAGGACAAATATCGACAGGCTCTGCATGATGGCCTTCAGGTCAGACATGCCAAATCCACGAAAACTGACTCCGACTCTGGCACCGAGGTCCCGGCGTGGGGCCATTGTTCTAACCACTCTTCCCTCTGATAAGCTGGACTCTGGTTGCTGTGACGTCACCCGGCCGGCCCGCCCCTCTTATCGTGACCAAGTGGCTCGGTGGGGTTATTCCCCAGGCCGCTGAGTTACAGTGCTCTACTCTAATTAACTCTTAAGAAACATGGTGGGCATATGCATCTCAGTAGTAACTTGTCGTCTGCTCCAGTCGTGAGAACATATTCTTCCTGACGTCTTTGGCTTAAGGATTGAACTGTTAGCAATCGGTGGCTAAGATGTATTTTCTAAATGGAGCTGCGACAATCTAAAAAAAAAAAATAACAATTGATTGTTAATTATCTGAGTTCCCCGCCATGTAAATTTCAGACTAGAGGAAAGGGGTGGGGGGAACTGGTGGGCTGAAGTCTAACAGAAGATTTGCGAAACTAAATACGCAGAGCAGAGGTTCTTAACAAGTGTCCTCGCAGGCCCTGTGGAAACAGGTGGCTGTGCCAGGAGTTGTGGGAAGATCCCATGCATTGTATTCTCATATATGTTTATTTCATTACAATACTTTTATTTTATCCACGGGAGAGGGTGGGGGAACACTTTTGAAATCGAGAGGGAGTTTCGGTGCTGCAAAAAGATTGAGAGCCCCTGACGTATATCTATAGTGTGTACGACCACTGCACAGCGAGGTCATTAAGAAGTAAGGAGTCCGTCCGAAAGCAGTCCACGTCTAGCGGCACTTCAAACCTGCTTCGCGTTTTTCTTTTAATGACGCAATACTCCTCCAGTTCCTGGTCAGTTTCAATATTGAGTGGCCACCGCAGTCATCAACAGGCGAGACTTAACCCTCAAGAAGTGTAGCCGTGAACAAATTATATATTTTGTTATTGACGCTTGCAACATCTCATCGTCCAGCTGCAATATAACTTAACTTTTTTTTTTTTTTTTTTTTTTTCTGAGCCCAGAATTGAGATTGGAGGTGGGATTCAAGAGGTTTAACATTTCGGTTTTGTCACACTTTAGTCAAATAACTTAACCTCATCCTTCATTTAGCCAGTCGTTAGACTTAAGTCAAGATGAGCCGTGCTGTGTATTCAAATCAGTAACATCTTGTCACTTTAACAATGAAAGGATTTGANCTGGACTCTGGTTGCTGTGACGTCACCCGGCCGGCCCGCCCCTCTTATCGTGACCAAGTGGCTCGGTGGGGTTATTCCCCAGGCCGCTGAGTTACAGTGCTCTACTCTAATTAACTCTTAAGAAACACGTTGGGCATATGCATCTCAGTAGTAACTTGTCGTCTGCTCCAGTCGTGAGAACATGTTCTTCCTGACGTCTTTGGCTTAAGGATTGAACTGTCACCAATCGAAGGATGAGATGTATTTTCTAAATGGAGTAGCTACACTCTAAAAAACAAACAAAAAATTAATTTATTGTTAATTATATGAGTTCCCCGACTTGTAAATTTCAGACTGGGGGAAAAAGTGGGGGTGGGGGCGGCGCTGAAGACTAACAGAAGATTCTTGAGACTAAATACGCAGACCAGAGGTTCTTAGCAAATATCCCGTCAAGCCCTGTGGATACTGGTGGCTGAGCCAGGAGTTGCGGGAAGACCCATGCATAAGGGATGTTTATTTCATTACAATACCTTTTTTATCCATGGGAGGGAGTGCGGGATCAGTTTTGAAATCGAGAGGGGGTTCGGAGCTGCAAAAAAAAAACAAAGGTTGAGAGCCACTAAGGTACAGCGATAGTGTGTACGACCACTGCACAGCTGGGTCATTGAGAAGTAAGGAGTCCGAAAGCAGTCAACGTCTAACGGCACTTTAAACCTCCTTCGCGTTTCTCTTTTAATGACGCAATACTCCTCTAGTTCCAGGTCAGTTTCAATATTGAGTGGCCACCGCAGTCATCAACAGGCGAGACTTAACCCTCAAGAAGTGTAGCCGTGAACAAATTATATAGTTTGTTATTGACGCTTGCAACATCTCATCGTCCTGCTGTAATATAACTTAATTTGCTTGTTTTTTTTTGGGTTATTTTTCTGAACCCACAAATGAGATTGGAAGTGGGATTTACGAGGTTAACAGTTCGCTTTTGGTCACACTTTAGTCAAATAACTTAACCTCATCCTTCATTGAGCCAGCCTTAAGACTTAAGTCAAGATGAACCGTGCTGAATATTAAAATAAGTTGCTACTGCTTACTTTAACTTTGAAATTATTTGAACACACATATTTTTTAATAGCATTGTCCTCTCCTCCTCCCCTTCTCTCTCTCTCTCTCTCTCTCTCAATATATATATATATATATATATATATATATATATATATATATATATATATATACAGTTGTTTTATAATCTATGTTGACATATATAAATATATATTTTTTTTTAAATTTCAAATTTATATCTACATTATAATTTACCTTTTTCTGAAGACCATAAAAACATACTGAAGGCACATTATAAAAAAAGCCATCTAAAGTATTCGCAGAGGATCTAAAATGTCAACCCACCCTCCCCCACCAAACATATAAAAAGCCGACAGGGACGTTACTCCCGTCCACATTAATACAACCAGCGTGCACTCATATATTAACAACAAAAACAACAACAATAAAAAAAAAATTAATATTTTTTTTACAAATCGTGTTAATCACTATGATATTTGAAATATGTATCGATCTTCCAGTTGGAGAACCGTATAATCTCGTTAACACAAAATATGACACACGACTTAAAATCACACACGGTTTAAAAAAAAAAAGTATTCATTTATGTTCTATAAGTACTTTCGTTATAAACAGCACAGTTAAACTAACCTACAGTTCCTTAAATGGTGTAGGTATCCTGTCATCAAATAGGAACATTTTTTTTTAAAAGCCAAGAAATATTCGTTTAAAGTTCATGACGACTACAGGTCCCAGACACATTCAGACTCAACTGAAGCAACCAAGCATCTTATCCACATTTGTAGTTCAAGGGGTGACAACTATAATTAAAAACATCGCTGATTAGTGCTCCTTTTGGGCACCGCCCAGGAAGGGATGGCCCGCCCCTCTTTAACTGTTCACAACCCAGTATCATTGCGTCACGACCTTGTCCACCCCCACCCCCAAAAAACCTTGTATGGTTTCTTAGTGTGTACCAAGTGACGTCATTGCGCATAAGTAGAGAATTCATAAGATGTTGAATGTGTCGATTGTAAAAAAAAAAGATGGATTTCAATATCAATGTTTCAGTGCGATATAAAATTTATCCAGACGGTGGTGTCCAGCGTTTCTATGGGGGTGACACCTCTGAAGAAAGAGAATAGTTTACATAGATGACCTCTGGAATGTCACCATGCTTATAATAAATCCCTTTGCCTCTAAAGAGTTTTATCTATCGATGCATGGCGCTTAGTCACAAGGCCTACACAACACACATACTCTCACACACACACGCATCAACACACAAACACACACACACACACCAAAAGCGTACGATGGCAATAGGAAAAGGAAACCCAATTAATTATGAGAGTGCCAGGCTCTTTATCCAACAAAAAGAAATATACACAGAATAGGAAAAACCTGAGGGGCGATACCAAAAAAATGGATGCTATGCTATGAAGCCTTCGATAGACAAACCCTATACCTTGTGTACTACCCTATACCTTGTGTACTACCCTATACCTTGTGTACTACCCTATACCCTGTAAAATACACTATTTCTAGTGTACTACCCTATACTTTGTGTACAACCAAATAACCCTGTGTACCACCCTATATCCTGTGTACCACCATGTACCTTGTGCACCACCCTATAACCTGTGCACCACCCTATAACCTGTGCACCACACTATACCCCGTGCACCACCCTATACCCTGTGCACCACACTATAACCTGTACACCACACTATACCCCGTGCACCACCCTATACCCTGTGCACCACCCTTTAACCTGTGCACCACACTATACCCCGTGCACCACCCTATACCATGTGCACCACACTATAACCTGTACACCACACTATACCCTGTGCACCACACTATACCCTGTGCACCACACTATAACCTGTACACCACACTATACCATGTGCACCACACTATAACCTGTACACCACACTATAACCTGTACACCACACTATAACCTGTACACCACACTATAACCTGTACACCACACTATACCATGTGCACCACACTACCTCTTGTGCACCCAGTGGAGCACAAATATCATTTTATAGGAATTTAACATGAAAGCTTTGGCCAAGTTGAAATCTTTGTATTCTATAAAATTAAGCGTTTGTTTGTTTGTGTGTCTTTTTGTTTGTGTGTTTGCCATTGGTTCGCTTATGCCAACAGCTCCTTTTTCTCCTAAGCAGAAACCGTGGCTTGTCTTTTGGAGGCCCCCCCGGCCATTTTTAGTCTTGTACCCTTGTTTTCAAAGTAAATGAGTTAAAATGTGTCCCCATCAGAGCTTCTATTAAGGCCCAGTGGTTGCAGGGCCCGCCCAAGAACTCAGCTCATATCCCTAGGGTTAGGTCAAACTTTTTATCTTACCATTTTTTGGAATACGTTTTCTAAAATGTTCAAATTTTTTTTGTTATTGAAATGGTAAAAGCCAAACTATTCATAAGATGTTCAAGCATTAGAATTCATGATACTCTCATTTTTTAAATAAAAATTGTATCAATATCGATTTCCCCCCCCCCCAAACATTTTTCAACGTACGCAGGACATGTGCGCGAATGAGTTTCAAAAGTTCTAAATCTTCCGGTTTCCGTCAAAATACTCGTTAAGCTTTTAGTTAACCTCTGGGTTAGGGTTAGGGTTAGGGTATGTTTGAATGACATATGGAGATGAGAAACAAAAATGGTAATTTATAAAATATCCTACACTTGATAAGACGTGTGTTCCTCATACTCCATTGAATACGTCATCACTGCGTTATATCAGGGATGCAATTAGTATTTAGAAATCTTCAATTCAAGTTATTCAATTTTCTTCCCCCAATTTTTTATACTGGATATTGAAAACCTTTCGTTATGTACCGTCATTACAGGGAAATTCTCAACACATAGTGGACTTTTGACGTTTCATAAAATGATTGTATGTCTCTCTCTCTTTCTCTCCCCCTCTCCCTCTCCCTCTCTCTCTCTCTCTCTCTCTCTAAGACACGTGCTGACCAGCCGTTTCCACATCTTGCACCACGATATTCTGAGGCCGAGCCACGTGCGTACGGACATGAGGTTAGGGGAATGAGTTTTTAACTTCGATGCGATCTGACATAAGGACGTCATTTTGGAAGAGGCCAGGGTGGGGCATTTGCCCCCTCCCTTAAATGTGAAGGTTTTATTTTAATTCCTCTGTAATGTGGCACCTCCAGTAATAAACAACTTTACAAACCAACCAAGTTTTTGTTTTGCCCCCCCCCCTTGAAAAAAACTGAAATGACGCCCCTGTCTGATCTGACGTCAAGCAAAGACCGCCTGAATGAAGGAGCATTTTGGAAAAATCTCGCCAATATATTTTAGTGTTATTAATTCACTACATGGTCATATTCCTTGGATAAATGTAAGATTAAGAAGTAAATTTCAATGTGTATTTTATTAATGTAAACTAGGGGCTAGTTAAGTCCTGAATAGGAAGATTTATTTAAGAACTATTTCAAATATTCTCTCTGTGGTCAATGGACACTATGTGAAGTTATATCACGTTATGTCATATGTGGTCAGTAGACGATATGCCCATCTGTGGTCAATCAACGTTATGTTCATCTGTGGTCAGTAAACTTTATGTCCATTTGTGGTCCGTAGACGCATTGCCCATCTGTGGCCAGTCGACGTTATGTCCATCTGTGGTCAGTAAACTTTATGTCCATTTGTAGTCCGTAGACGCATTGTCCATCTGTGGTCAGTAAACTTTATGTCCATTTGTGGTCCGTAGACGCATTGTCCATCTGTGGTCAGTAAACTTTATGTCCATTTGTACTCCGTAGACGCATTGTCCATCTGTGGTCAGTAAACTTTATGTCCATTTGTAGTCCGTAGACGCATTGTCCATCTGTGGTCAGTAAACTTTATGTCCATTTGTAGTCCGTAGACGCATTGTCCATCTGTGGCCAGTTGACGTTATGTCCATCTGTGGTCAGTAAACTTTATGACCATTTGTGGTCTGTAGACCCATTGTCCATCTGTGGCCAGTTGACGTTATGTCCATCTGTGGTCAGTAAACGCTATTTCCATCTGCGTTCAGTAGATCTTCCTCTAGTGTTGGGCAAGCTTCTATTTTTTTTTAAACCATCAATATCGCAGATCAAAGATCTAGGGATCATTTCCTCGATTACATGCTGACACCAAAATACATGTTCCTACACTCTAAGTCCCCACCCTCCAGGTCCTAACAATCCAGGTCCTCACACTCCAGGTCCCCAAACAACAAGTCCTCACACTCCAGATCCCAACACTCCAAGTCCTAACAATCCAGGTCCTCACACTCCAGGTCCCCTAACTCCAAGTCCTCACAATCCAGGTCCATATACTCCAGGTCCTCACACTCCACATCCTCACACTCCTAGTCCCGATCCTCCAGGTCCTCAAACTCCAGGTCCTCAAACTCCAGGTCCTCACACTCCAGGTCCCCACACTCCAGGTCCTCACACTCCAGAACCTCACACTCAAGGTCCCCACCATCCAGGTCCCCCACTTCAGGTCATCACACTTCAGGTCATCACACTCCAGGTCCTCACACTCCAGACCCCAAACTCCAAGGTCCCCCCCATCCAGGCCCCCCACTTCAGGTCATCACACTCCAGGTCCTCACACTCCAGGTCCCCCAAACTCCAAGGTCCCCACCATCCAGGTCCCCCACTTCAGGTCATCACACTCCAGGTCCTCACACTCCAGGTCCCCCAAACTCCAAGATCCCCACCATCCAGGTCCCCCACTTCCGGTTCTCCAGCACTTTTTCTCTTTACATTCAGGGGCGGTATTTTCGGCCTAATGCAGAGTTTATTTCGAGGAAGGGGACGTCTTATACCTCGGCCTGCTAAGGCCCGCCCCTGGCCAGGGTGTCACGAATCCAGCTACGCCACTTACGTCAAAAAATGATTAACAATTATAACGGACTATTCTCCCTAAATATTCTTTATCATCTTCCCCTTCCCCCCCCCTTTTCCTCCCAACCCACCAACGTAAAACATTAATTGAAATGCGCACATCCTGCTACAACTACCTTGCGTGAAATGTTCACGTACTCATATCAACAGATACGTTAGTGAAAAGACGAGAGGATGAGTGCACACAACAGGAAGTTCTCAGCCCCTTCCCTTGGGTGTTGGCAAAAACACACGATTGTTTCGCAGACCGACCTTAGTGTGAATAGCCGACACATAATTCTATCAATTGTTTTCTGTTTTATTTGTTTATACCGTAAACTCACTATGTATGACATATCGTTTTATTCCAAAAAAAAAAAGAGATTTGAAGAGGAACTCGGAGCCGCAGCTCGTAGCTCTGGAGCAGGGTCATTTTTGTCCGGAGCTTGAGCTCATAGTTCTGGAACAGGGTCATTTTTGTCCGGAACTTGAGATCATAGCTCTTTAGTGGGGTCATTTTTGTCCGGAGCTTAAGCCTATAGCTCTGGAGCAGGGTCAATTTTCTCACTACTCCGACCTCAACAATTTTTAAGAATTAATTTTAAAAATACAAAAATTTTAAATTGTAATTTAAAAGTATTTGTCAAAATTCACTCGTCAAAATTAATGCCGGACTCTTCTCTTACACGGCTTACATTTCTGCCAACCCTTTCCACGCAAAACAAAGTATGCAGCTGATTAAAATGTTCGCTCCCACCCATGTTAAACAAGAGGGAAAATTACCGACATACTTTGATGGTGATGACCATAATGAGACAGATTGATTGGTTGCCTATTGTATAAGTCCATTATTATGTAAGTTTTC